CCCGGGCCGGAGCAGCTCCGGGAGCGGCAGCAGCGGTGGCGGAGGCAGGAGGAGGAAGGAGGCGGTCGCCGGGGTCCCGCGCCCTCACTCCGCCGGCCGGCAACGCGCGCAGAGACAAGGGTTCCGCCGCCAGCGCGCGGGTTCCGCCGGGCGGGGGACAGGGGACCGGGAGCTGGTGCACCGCGCTCGGCCCCGCCCCTTCCGCCTGGCCGCGGGTTGGGCTTTCGTCTGGGGTCGGGGCTGAGACTGGGGAACTGGCGAGACTGGGACGGTGATACTGGGATTGGGATTGAAACTGGAGGATCGGGATTCAGGCTGGGATTGGGAGACTACAAATGGGAGACTTGGATTGGGATTAAAACTAGGGAATTGGGAGTCAGACTGGGTTTGCAACTGGGATTGAGACTAAAATTGGGTCTGGGGGACTAGAAATGGCAGACTGGGATTGGGATTGAAACGGGGATTGGGAGTCATGCTGGGATTGAGACTGTAGTTTGGTCTTTGATTGGGACTGGGAAAGTGGGATTGGGTCTGGGGGACTAGAAATGGCAGACTGGGATTGGGATTGAAACGTGGATTGGGAGTCAGGCTGGGATTGGAACTGGGAGACTGGGTTTGGGTCTGGGGGTCTAGAAATGGGAGCCTGGGACGGGGGGACTGGGATTCGTGCCAGGTCTGAGTCGGAGTGGGCTGTTGACCCATCCCAGGGGATCTGGGCTGTGATGCCCCAGGGAGTTTTCTCCGTGTACATCTGACCATCATCACATCTACCCATCAGCACTGCTGCCAGGCCTGGCAGGGCCCCTGTAGCCCTGATGTAAAGTTGCTTGTTGCTGGTCCTGCTGCTGGGCTGAAGCCCAAGTAACAATCTGTGCCAGTGTGGGGGGTGAAAGTGATGTAAGTGTGTAAGAGCTAATACAAGACTCACCTGTTGGAAACCTGTGCCGCGTGTGCTGCTATGAATGTTCAGTGTGTTGTAGCAGTGTAAATCAGGGGTGTTGGACCCACAGAGCTGGATCTGGTTCACAGCCTTGATGGGGTATCTTCCCCTGACAGCAGCCATGGGCCTGGGCCAGGCTGTGACACTGGAGTCCCAGCAGCAGCAGAGCGTCTTGTTCCCAAGGTGAGAGCCATGTGCCCATGATGCTGGGCTTCTTCCCATGGTGCTGTTTGGGCTCCAGTGCTGCAGCTCTCACTGGTTTAACCAGTTGCCTGGGTGAGAGCAGCAAAACTGGAGCCCCAGCAGCACAGTGGGAAGTCCAGCAATGTAGTTTGTTCCTGTGGTGGCAGCTAAGCTTTCAGGATGCCAGGCCACTTCTCCGCAGATCCCAAATAAGCTGGAGCAGGCACCAAGTGTGCTGGATCTGGCATGGAGATGGATGGGCGTGATTCAGTCTGTAGGGTGAGCCCTGTACCATTCATCCAGCTCATGAAGCCAGGTGAGTTTGACACCCCCTGGAATAAGCAGTTAAATTTTGGGCAGGAAGCAGCTGGCACTTGCTTTCTCACTCCAGCCTTTTCTGCCAACTAGTTATACTGCAGAGCCTCTCAGTGCCTGATCAACCTTCAGAGGAGTTGAACTCTACCATAAAGGTAACAGGTACTCTACACACTTGTGGTCTTTTCTCTCACTAAAGTATGCTGTAATAGGATGGAATCCCTTGTTTCTCCGCTGTTGTCTTTTACAGTACCAGCCACCGGGCTGGACCCCATTACATTCCAGATACTGGACAATTTAATGACGACTGTGAGTGAGGGAGGACACCTCCTCCCTCTGCATGGGAAGGGATAAAGATGCAACAGGAAAAATGGGAGAGGGGTTTGTACCAGTTGAACAGTAGCCTACAGCTGTGGTTCTTAACCCTTTGAGACTTGAGGGATCCCTCTATAACTTCTGTGAATTGAGTGGCGCCCATTTCAAAAACTAATTTACTTCATTTATAGTTCTTACCTGCTTGAAGAGGGGCTGTGAAGAAAGAGGAGCAGCCAGCAGGGAAGAACTTGTGTTGCAGTGAGTGGGTGGAGGAGTCACTGCTGATGAGCCTGCACTCATCTCTCTGGAGCCTGTGTTTATCCCCCGTTCTGCATCACCCTTCAAAGGCTACTGTGGCACTCTGATTGAGAATCACTGCCCTAGAAAAATAGAGCAGCCTGAAATATGTGCAATGTGTGTGTGTCCAGGGCATACTTAGCTATCTACAGGCAGACAATAGGAAATTTTAGGGAAATCCCTGTGCTCTGGCCCCCAACTCAGGGTACACTGTCTGTGCATTCATCAGCTGGCAGTCTTAACCCTGTGGAGATGTTTACCTGGGCAATGGAAGAGGAGGGAAAGGAGCCGCTTCCCTTTTGCCAAAAGCCAAGTGGCATGGGCATTTGCCCACAAAATGGGAAACTTGCATGCCAGGTTTCACTGAACCTGAGTGGAGGTTAAAGCCATTTCTTCCACTTCCCAGAAAAATGCTCTTGCCACGAGGCTGGATTGAGGGTATTCTGCATTCATCCTGTTGAGACTGAGAGACAGGAAGGGAAGGAATTAAAAAGTCCTGGGACTAGAACAGTAAATGGGAGGGAGCAAAACTTTGTATCTTGTGAGGCAGCCACTACAATAATTGTGAAGCCGTGGTAGTGCTCCCAATGGTGTTTATACATTTTATCCCAGGACTACTGGATGCATGAACAGCATTGGGAATAAGGAACAGAACCAAGGGCACCTTCCTTCCCCCCATATCATACTTCTCCCTTGCTCTCCTTGCTGAAGGCTGAGTGGTTTGGTTTGGTTTGGAGATTTTTATGACAGTTTGACCAGCCTAACTGATGACAAATTCTTGGGACACATTATTTGAGATGTCCTGTGCAACTACTTTGAGGAAAGGGCATAATGGTTTAGATAGGCTTTTGGGGATGTTCTAGCTATGAAGTGTTGGTTTTATGGATTTTAAATACAGTGGTGCATGACAGTTTACTGACAGGATCTTGTGCAGTTGATCAGCAGGATTTATTGTGCATGCTGTGTGCACTTTCATTCATTTTAAATATCAGGTATCTTTTAGTATATGTCCAGTATGCATGTCTGGGCCTCCAGGTAAAGTGGGCTTATTGTTGACATGCTATGTAGAATCTCTTCAGATTCCCATGCATTCTGCAAACAAAGATGCACAGATGGATGTGTGGAAATAAATGTATTTTATAATTAAACAATATCTGACTTGGAGTGGTACCAGAACAAACAGTGCCAGGAGTAGAAAACCTGGAACATTTAGAATATATTGTGAACTGTGCCAACAAGCAGTGTGGATTAAATTAAAGGGTAAGGGAGATTTTACATAAGAACTTGGAGGACAGGTACACAAAGGTGAACAGCATCTGTGGGGCTATGTGGGAACATT